ATGAAAGATGGAAAATTATAGAAGAAAAAGAAAGACCATGTTCATATAGGATTATAAGAATATGTGAAAGAATTGTAGAAAGGAACAGAAGAGACCTTCTTATAGGAACTAATCAGAAAGAGTTTGCAATACAAAACAACTGTGAGAATGAAGTTATAGAGGAACACGAGATACCTGAGAATAGCAAGAACACTACAAATTTAGATGTGCTTGTAAGTCCTTCAAAACCTACCAGAAGTGTTGTGAGGTATAGTATCACCAAATTTTTCAAATGGACATAACTACTTTACTCGATGTGGTAAGACTGTTAAGAAACCTTATTATTTAAAAGGATATGTTAATGTTACTACTATTATTATTTTTTTAAAAAAAGGGAGATGTTATATATGTAACTGTAACTGTATCTATTATTATCTTTAATCATAACTGTAATATAGAATAGTAGATGAGCAATGTAGAATAAACGATGTTTGTGTACATCTGGTAATCATCACTGGGCACATACCCAACATATAAAAAACAACACAAGCAGGACTTGTGATGTCAGAGATTTTGTCAGCCGTAGCTGCTAATTTTTTAAGTTCGATATCAAAAGAGGCCAATATGGCTTGCATCTGGGCTGGAAGGCGTTGAAGCGCAGCATTTTACGCCGATTTCCGTAAGGCGATAGCGAGAGCGAATGTTGTTAACCCTAACTCAGCAATAGAAAGGGTTGTTAATAGTTCAGCAGCAAGAGAATAATTTGCAAGTAATAATTATCAGTTACAAAGACGAGGTCAATCTATATACATGATGATGTTCAGGAAATGATTAGATAAAATAGGGATTTAATGATGGTTATAATTGCAAGTGAGGACGTGTAATTAATTAAAAAAATCTTTAATGTGTTGACAAGAAGGCTACAGAAATTACTTAAATTCTCTTATTTAACAGAGGAATTTTTATGCAAATTTAGGCCCTAGTCTTATAGAATAGGACTGTCAGAATTTATTATTCAATAAGAAAACTTACTAAAATTATAATATTCTTATATATTCATCACTTTTTCAGTATCCACACATGTTTATAGGTTCAAATCCCATATGTCAAAATCAAAGTTATTTATGAAATAAAACCTTATAAAATCTGATAAATCATTTGTGTGTGCAAATTTTTAAATCTAAATCTCTTACATTAAATTATTTCTGTCTTTTTAAATTACATCCAATTATTTATTTCAATTTAATTTATTAATGTTTTTGTACTAATATTTCAAAGTTCTTTGAAGTACTTTTTGTGTCCTGAAAATGCCAAGTATGTCCATAAAAAATAAACAGGCATACAGAATTGTTAATAACCAGTATTATATGATTAATAATTCATTTAATAGTTGATTTAACCGCTTTTAACTTATTTCACGTCTAAATTTCTACACAGAAATTCTCTGTCTAATTTTTATTATCTTTTCTTGGACAAAAATTTTCAAAAAGGAATCACTTAAGATCTTGATTGCGCAAAACACATTTTTGAAACTAAATGCATTCTAAGAAGTACAAAAAAATGTAAACAAGATTTTGCCCCCCCCATAAAATCAGTCATTTAAATTATTCTAACCGTTCAGGAAACCGATAAACATTGCGAACATAAAAGCTACCCTTTTTTATATACATTTTAATAAAAGGAAATGTGTTCCTTCTTTTTATAAGAAAAGTAACACATTTTCTTTTCTAAACTTTTGAAAGTCGCCAACGCTTAAAAAATGATAAAATACGCCAAGGTAGTAACCCGCTTTTTTTTTTTTTTTAAATTCCCTACAACACTAAGGCAGTTCTCGTACGTAGAATCCTTTCTTTTCGATTGGGTTCATGGACCTTATAAGAGATAGACTAACCCAGTTGGCGGGGCGCGCGTCACCGACATGTCTGCAAGAAAGAGTAGGGACGATGTGGTTTACTTTAACACTGAAATCTATGGCGTTTGTATCACATAACTCTTTTTAACTATTAAATGTGATACGTGGTATAGTGATCAGATTATGAAAGCCACAGTTTCCAAAAAGGTTTTAATATATCTCATTAAAGCACTTTTTACTGCATTTCGAGCATTTTTTTCACGCGTAATTCTTGTACAAACATCTTTACTTTGGTAAAACGGTAAAAACTCTAAGCACAAAATTTATGAACTTAATTTTGCGTACAAATAACGTAAAATTAAATAAGATTGATAGTACGTGATGCTTTGAAATAAATAAGGTAAAATTAAACAAGATCTGATAATTTTTTTTGAATTTAATTACCATTTTCAAAACTATAATAACATTACGAAACAATCATTTATTTGATTATATCATCATTAACTTATTAACATTAAAGTGGAATATTTATTTTAGTAATTTATAAAATTCGGAGCATAAAATTTTCTGATTATAATGAAGGGGAAAAAAAAGATAAAATAAAATCTAGAATCACTCAGATTTTATATTACGCCCGAAAGGAACCTTTTTTTTAACGTTTTGTTCGTTACCTATATTTAATGAATACCATATTCTTCGCCCGTAAACCACGTACATTTGAAAACAGCATATCTTTAGAATTTCCGCACTGGAGATAAAAATTTTATTTACCGTACAGTGTTACCATTGCTCGCTTTGAACTCGTTGAGTCTGTTATCAAATATTCGTTAAAGTTTTACAAAATATGAAATAGATTAAAACAAATTCGAAATTCAACCGTCCAGATGCCTATGTTCGGGTGGAGGATTACATTATTCGAAATTTGATGGCTCTAGATACTGTCGTTTTTGTCACAGTGCGAGAAACATACATGTATTCATGCAGATTCTTAATTATTTAATTTATTTAAATATAATACAAGGCGATAATAATTGGTAACAACAATTTGCAAGGAGACATGGACATTTATAGTAAAACAGCGCAAAATGCCGTTTCTAAACTACCAGACTTTCTAGGTTACCGCCCCTTTGGGCTAATAAATTAAATTAACAGTAAATAAAAAAAATCTTATGCAGAACTAAAAATAAATTTAAAAAAAAATCACTATAAAATACAAGCAAAATTAATTATTACGGTTAAATACAATTTTAATATTAGAATTAAATGTTTAAAACTTTTTTAGGAGTCAAAAGTGTTTATCACTATGATGTATTATGAAATATACTTGAAATAAAATTTCTTTATAGAAATTGTCCTATAATACTCATCTATAGTTTTAAAAAAGCAGCAAAATTTAGAATTTTAAACAAAACTTTCAAAAATTTGTTTTTAAATGTTTTAGTATTTTTTACTTATTTACACCAACAAAAAGCATAAAAATTGCAAGAGAAAATTGCTTGTTTGAAATTTTCTATTAGTTCAGATTTAAAATATTATTTTCTAAAAGAAATAGTTACAAATTTTCTTACAGCATAGGAAAAGCTAAAAATATATCCAGTCCTGAAAGCATGCAATAGCTTTATAATTATTTGGAACGTTAATTATGCTTGATAAATATGCTAAATTTTTAAAAATCAATCTAAATTTCAAAAATAAAAATATGTAGAAATTCTAATTTGTGAAATGAGGTGCTACAACCAGCTTTTTCTTGACAATTATACACGCTGCAATAGGCAACCACTGTTAAATTTCTGCAAATCGTCCCTACTCCTCCGGATATGATCAAGGTGACAGCTGAGAGCGCCTCAGACGAGGGAGAAAACCCATTTGGGTTAGTCTATTTCTAATAAGGTCCATGATTGGGTTCAAATGACGGATCTAACAACTCAATGCGCATGAGTGGTTAATTTTTACGGAACTTGTTTCTACGGGCCATGGGTGCGAATAGCTTAAGTGAGTAATCGCACCGCTGGTGCGAATAGCATCGGCCGTTACTTTACGTGTGCTGAAGTTATTAGTAGTCGGTTGTATTTTTATCGTATCTGGTAATTTAGTATGTGATGTTTATTTGTACCTAAATTTTGCGTTTTCCATTTTGAATCCGTTTGTAATTAGCCCAAGGTGCGTTAGCCCAGAAGGGTTACTAATTTCGTTTTGGCATTTTGCGTTGGTTCACTATAAAAGTCGGTTCACTTTTTAAATTTTTCCAAATATCTCAGAGCCTTATATTATAGTTAAAGAAATTAAATAATGAAAATTTTGCATAGAAGTATGTATGTTTCTAGCATTGTGATAGCACAATGGTACCTAGAGCCATAAAATTTTGAATAACATACGTTTACACCCGAATATGGCATCTGGATTCCCAAATTTGGAATTTGTTTTACATATTTTGTAAAACTTTAAGGAATTCTTTATCAAAGAAATAAACAGCAATGGCAGCACAGTACAAAAAAAAAAATTCCAGCGCGAGAGACTGTGTATCGGAAATTCTAAAAATATGCTCATTTTAAAATTATTTTGCGATATTGCTGTTGAACTGACTTTTTTGGTTTACGTGCGAAGAACTTGATATTTAATAAATAAAGGTAACACACAAGACGTTAAAAAAAGTCCCTTTGATCGTAATGTAAAATGCGAAAGCTTTCAGTTTTTTATTTTTAAATTTTTGTATTATTTTAAAATTTGTTATGATGCCCTTAAGACTTTCACAGCCTTAAGGTCGCCCCAGATCAGGTACTCCGGTGTTTATACCACTCGAAGAAAGGAGAATGATAAGATTATCCTGGTTTACAAGTTATGAGCAGTGATTTATAATTACTTGGAAAAAGTAATGTATTTACATTTTAAAAATGGAATCTGCTTGGCATTTTTATAGTAAAATTTTACTTAAACGACGGGCCGCCCAAGAGTAAAAACAGTAGTGTTCCATTTAAAAGGTTACGAACAGTCAGCCTACCTATGAAAGGATGTGACTTTTTTCATTTGTTAAGCAAAGAATATAAAATATTTTTCTAAATTTATGGATAGAAGGCCTATGAGAATTAAAAAAACCTTTTACAACAATTGTACAGGATGAGCACTTTTTTACATTTTATCTTTGGCAATGCTCTTGAACAGGCGTATTCGAATTCGCTTAAGTTTCGAAATGTGTTAGATTGGGTGTAGTATGTTGAAGTTGCTTATTTTGATTCTGTTCCTTTGAAGTTATTCCTCCTGATTTTACGTTGCGATAATGAGTTAATTTAATATGATTAATTTGGATTGTGATGGAACAACGGAATGAAAAGCTAATAGATTTTTCCTCAGACGATGAAAAATCTGATTTTACTGAAAATTGTAATAAACAAAGCTTTGAAACGCCTAAAATTTACGAAACGGAGCAAAATAATTCTCCAGAGTGCCAGAGAAACTATTCCAGACTTTGTGGCTATTTGAATAAATTAGGCAATCAGCGGATTTTACGAACTTTTCGTAAACGGTGGTTTGTTTTCTCGGAAAATAATTGCAAACTGTACTATTATCGCTCGCCACAAGATGCCATATCTTTAGGTGAAATAGACATATCTCGAGCAACATTTTTTATTGAAGTACACAAAGAAAGATGTGGATTGTTTACAATAAGGTGGGTAATACAGTTGGAATTATGAACATTTGTTTTATTCTTTAAGCCGCTGCGATCATTGATCCTATACACTTATTCCGATAAAAATCCCATCTTAGACGATTTTTGGACACTTAGTATGTTTGTTTTTTAATCTTGTGTGCAAGTGTCAGTTGCTTAATATTAGCCAAATGACTTTATTTTTCTTCCACATACGCTATTGATCATCTCTTTTAAAACCTTAATGTTTTGAAAAAAGTTATTCGGAAGATTTGTATTAAAAAAAGGATAATTTGTTCAAAAAGTTTTCAAATTGAACTCGCATAAATATTCGGACACATTGAACAAAGGGTTTATATTTAATAAAGATATAAAAATAATGAGACATTCAATATTTCTTTAGATAGCCCTTTTTATTCATTTTGATGTGGATTCAACTAATTTTTTCATATAAGAATGCTCCATTCATGTCTAATAATTGTTTTTACTAGACCATTTGAAGAAGTATCTCTTTTGCTAATCTTTTATGCCAGTTACTCTACACATGTCCTTAGGATTTGAGCCCAGAAAACATGAAGTTTGTAGAATTTCAGGACATTTATATAATAATCACAAGTGAACACTTAGCCTGTAAGTTTAGGATCATTATCCTGATAGAACTTAAATGTATATTGCATTCCAATTTTTCTTGGAGATGCCCTCTGTTTTCGTGTATTTGTACTAATCTATAATATTTTCGATGCTTTCTGTTTTCATGTATTTATATAATTCCATATTATTTTCGATAAATACTAAATTTCTTATTCCAAGGGCAACGAACCATCCCTAAACCATTATGCCTCTACCTGTGGATAACATTAGGCAATACAGTGTCTCACAAAAGTGATGGGACACTTGTGCTTTACAAAAGGAAACTGTAATAAAATAAATTTTAAAAAAATGTAAAAATTTTTTGTGGGTGTGTTTCATATTTAAATTTAATAACAATTACTACATAACATACATTTTCTGAAAATATTAAAATATTAATTTAATAAAAATACAATTGTTTAGAACAGAGCAAAAAAATGGCTCACATAAGTGATGGGACACCATTATCCTGATAGAACTTAAATGTATATTGCATTCCAATTTTTCTTGGAGATGCCCTCTGTTTTCATGTATTTGTACTAATCCATAATATTTTCGATGCTTTCTGTTTTCATGTATTTATATAATTCCATATTATTTTCGATAAATACTAAATTTCTTATTCCAAGGGCAACGAACTATCCCTAAACCATTATGCCTCTACCTGTGGATAACATTAGGCAATACAGTGTCTCACAAAAGTGATGGGACACTTGTGCTTTACAAAAGGAAACTGTAATAAAATAAATTTTAAAAAAATGTAAAAATTTTTTGTGGGTGTGTTTCATATTTAAATTTAATAACAATTACTACATAACATACATTTTCTGAAAATATTAAAATATTAATTTAATAAAAATACAATTGTTTAGAACAGAGCAAAAAAATGGCTCACATAAGTGATTGGACACCATTAGATACTACTATGTACTATAATAAAATATTTTTGGGGTTTTTATTTTTACTCAGAAACAGTTGGGAATAATTTATAAAATCATCTGCAGTATTTCTCTCCAGTATGTTTTGGAATTTTTGTATTTTTTAGCACTGTGCGGCCATGAATGCTAAACGAAAAGAAACTTTGCCTGAAATTCAAAAATTAGTTATTAATTTTCATATTGAACGTGGAAAATATATTAGAGAAACTGAGACAGTTAACTTGAGTCATTCAACAGTTGTCAATATCATTAAACGATATAGTAGGTGTTTTGAATTAAATTCTTTACTCAAATTTTGCCACATATAAATTTGTCAGACCCAAACAATATATTAAATTTTGACTTTTAAGCAAATATTATGTTCTTTCAATATGATAGAACTATGTAAACAAGATTTTGTGAATGTTAGTTATCTTTTACTTGTTTTCTTGCTGGTCACCTATTGTATCCATGTGCTGTTAGTGCTGTGAAACTCGTAGCCTCTGAAGCAATTTTGTGCAGCCCACGAATTTTATTTTCCCATAAATTAATTAGCTTTATTATTGTATTATTTATTTTTTAGAAGAACTTGAAGAAAGATGATTTTAATGATTTGGAGTCCAGTTTTCTATTATTTTCATTACCCAAAACAAGCGTCGGTAATATCCAAGATTATCGACAAACAGAATTAATTGACACTGGGATATAAAATTATCATTATTAAATTATTCAAAGATTTGAAAATAAAAATTTTATTACCTTTTGCATTTATCAAAAGGTAAATTAAATACCTTCAGTTGCAAATTTATACAATCAGAATCATTGCTTTGTTTCAGATTATAATTATTTAATAGTTGTTTCTGCTCTTGAAATTCATTAAATCTAAGAAAACGAAAACAAAAAACTGATCAGTGAGCATCTACAACTTCTGACGAAGATAGTCTCTAGTAATTATTCCCCAAGTTCACAAACTTTAACCAAAGTGAAGCATTATCAATTGTTGTAGCTGAATGTCATAGCAAGAAATAAGGAAGTTTACAGTTATTTACATAGAGCTATATGTTTTCTGGGTACTTACGTATTATCGCAACCAGGTTGGCGCTATTTGTAAGTTTGAGTAAAAAAGTATGAATAGAAAGAAAATGTACATTTATTAATTATGGATAATTTTTAATACGGGTTTTATATTATTTTGTTTTAAAATATAAAATAGCAATTAAACCCTTCCGGTTTCGAATTTGAATAAGTTGCAGAATTATTTTTTTGGTGGAAATCTTTTGGCTATTGCTTTTAGCACTGATTGAAAACCGTATTCGCCATAATCATGTACACGTCGACTTATTTTTTACTTAAAAAAACATCCCAGAATTGCACAAAAATGGCATTGCGCACACTCTTGACTTTATCCATGTCCACTGCTATTTTCTGATAAATTACAAAAATTTGCACGAAAATGCAGGAAAATTTTTTGAATCTCCACATGCTCTTTTTACAAAACTACGTATAACACGTAGGGTCGCCAAATTTTGCAATTTATGCGAATTTTGGCCTGGTTGCGTTAATACGTAAGTACCGTTTTCTGTATGCATCGAGGAAAAATTTAATAAATGAGAGCTGATATATTTAAGTTTTCATAATTTGTTCATTTTAATTCCACTCGGAACTGAAAAGTAAATGATTTAGTAATGTATTTGAGTTTATTAGGTTATGATATCAAGGCATTAGAATTATTTGAGTAAATATCAGTCTGAAAATCTTTTAACTATTTAAAATGTCTTGCTCATACCGACCTTTTGATATCACATTTAAAATAAGTATAAATTTGAATTTTTTTACATCATTATTATTGCTGCTTGTGTATGTTTTGATAAATATTTAATAATAGCATTTTAAATTTAATTAAAAACTTTTATTTTGTTAAAAGCAAACCTTTTGGTAAAAAACGTTGTGTGCCAGTTAGTTGCTCTCAGATCTGCATTTGACTCGCATACAGTTTGAATTTGAGACCCTTGCACTAAATGACTCTTCTGAGCATAAGGGTTAACTTTTATTGTTAACTCTTCTGAATCTGCTGAAAATTTTTCAGTGCTAGTTTTAATGCAATTTGACATTAGCTTGGAATGTTGTCCAGACACATCAGGGTTTTTTTTTAGATATTTCGAATACTTTTGCCATCTTTAAAATAAAGAATGATTAAATTTTTGACGGAAGTGGTTGTTAATTTGTAGAGTCTTGTCATGCTCACTTAGACAGGAGATATGGGATTGTTAAACAAATTTTACTAAACAAATAAAAATTTCCAAATGCTGATAATTTGTATGATGTATTTTCATTTAAAAAATACTGTAGTAAGAAACATTGTATACGAATAAGGAGTGTCGTGTCTAAAATATTATACGAGTTTTTTCAACAAATTATTTTATTGCAGGAAATATTATGATGGTATTTATTTTACAGCAAGCAAGCATAAAAAAAAAAAAAAAAAAAAGTAATGCATTAGAAAAAATTGCAAATCTGTATTTCAGTATTTAGTGCAAGGTGCGTGCAACTAACTTTCAAAAGAAAGTTCCAAACTACCGAAAGTTCAAAAGTACCATGTCTATGAAAAGAACAGTCCCGCCACAGTGTCTGGCGGTTGCAATGCGAGTCGCAATAGCAACAGGGCTAGTATATTTCAAATAGGGACAAACCAAGGGTTGCTTTATTGTTATTTTGTTTTTGACGACTGTTGGCTGAGAGGAAAAGTTTATCATTCGTCTTCAAGACACCCCTACAGAAAATGTGTCAAGGCTTGTTTCTACGGCAACAGACAGCTGCTGACTAACTGGCGAGAGCTTTTCATATGATAGACAGACTGTACAAGGCTCCAAAAACAATTATGAGCTATATTTGGAAACCAAGACTCATACTGGGATCAAACAAATTCAAGCAAAGAAAAAAAAAATATGGAAAAATTTGATAGCTTTCAGATTTTTCTGATGTAATGCAAGGGGATGTTTTTTTAACGTTTTATGTGTTACCTGTGTTCATTAAATATCATGTTCTTCGCACTTAAATCATGAAATTCATTCAAGAGCAATATCACAAAATAATTTTAAATTGAGCGTATTTTTTAGAATTTCTGATATACAGTCTCACGCGCTGGAGATAAAAATGTTTTTTCTGTAGAATGTTGCCATTGCTCGCTTTGAAACCCTTGTGTTTGTTAATCAAAAATTCGTTAAAGTGTTACAAAATATGATACTGATAATGAAACAAATTTCAAATTTGGGCTTTCAGATGCCCATATTTGGCGGAGGATTATGTATTCAAAATTTGATAGCTCTAGGTACCGTTGTTTTTTCACAATGTGAGAAACATACATACATTCATGCAGATTCTTCATTATTTAATTTCTTCAAATATAATACAGGGCGATAATATTTAGTGGCAATAGTTTGAAAAGTGAAATGAACATTTAAAGTTTTCAATGCAAAATGCAAAAATGAAATTAATAGCTCTTCTGGGCTAATAATCATTTATATCATCAAAAGAAAATATTTCAATGAAAACCTCTGTCAGTTTGTCGTCTCCGTGATTTTGTTTTCCAGCACAAGATAAATATGACCACGTTTCTTCATTTCAAATATTGCAGTACTATTTTATTTTCATGTTGTGTTCAACTGGTAAATCAGTAGGGCATGATAATCCCAATTTTATTTTTGTAAACACATTAAATTTGCTTAAATATTAGTCGGTTTTAATTTTCAAGTAAATTTGTGTCAAGAGGCCAATCAATCTCATGATGCTGATGATGTTGATATCTGCAAAAAACGGAGATTATATGTCTTGACAGCACTTTTATTTGGATCTTATGCTGAAGTAATTTTTTATACACTTATTGCATATGTATGCTGAGCACTTTTCAAGTTTTTATTGTATATTTTTTTTTTATTTAGTAGCCTATAAATTGAAAATATTAAAGAATGAACAAGTATGAATTTAATAGTTGTCTACAAGATGAATACATTTTAATCAATCTGTATAAATTATCTAATGAGAAAAGTATAGTAGTGCATGAATATTTTATTGTTTCTGTTTCAGTGTTTTCTAATTATTAAATTAAAATTTAAAATCAAGTAAATTTGTCTAAAATGTGGTACGATATAAGGGTAAAAGTATAGTTTAGAGTACCCCTTGGCGAAACTTGGCAGCACATGGATACCGATTTTGTGAAATTTTTTGACTCGTTATTTTGGCTTGTGAAGCGTGATTTTTGTGCCAAAAATCGTCACTACACAAAGCCAAAATAACCAGACAAAACAATTGCACAAACTCGGTATCCATGTGCACATCGACTTATTTTCACTTAAAAAAAAAAAAATCCCCGAATTGCACAAAAATGGCATTGTGCACTCTTTTAACTTTATCCATGTACACGTCGACCTATTTTCACTTTAAAAAAAAATCCCAGAATTGCAAAAACTTGTATTGCGCACTCTCTTTACTTTGTGCATGTACATGTCGATATATTTTCACTGAAAAAGTCAAAGGAGCACCAAATTCTACAATATAGGCAAACAAAAAATACATAATCTCAATACAGTACATTTTAAACCAAACAATAAAAAAAAATAACATAACTAATAAAATAACATAATAATAACATAAATAACATAATAATTAAATAACATAAAAAAGGAAAAACATGTTGTACATTTAAGCACTACCAAAAGCAAATATTCACTTACCATGATTTTCGAGTTCGCTTCGTACACCCAGAGCCACGTAAAATCAAAATATCAATCATACTCAAATGACTTTTTTCAAACCAGGTACTCTTTCTGATCGAATGCTTCACATAGTGACCATCTGAACCTTTCTTCCTACAAACCCATTCAAATCCATCTAAACGGTTTTTACGTTCGATTAGACGCATGTCCTTCCTACATACAGACACTTATAATGGCTACTAAGTAAACCTTCATTTACACACCAGTCAATTAAAGCTCTTTTCCCTTTTCACCCCAAATCATACAGAAACTTCAAATTAATCTTATTACATTCAGCCATTCTACCTTCTAAAGAATCAAACCAACACACACCACAAAAACACTTACAAAACATCCCATGATTCAAAATTTCCCAGAATCATGCACCCGATTACGTCACAATAGGGTTTCCATAACATTCAACTACTCAGGCTACCATAAATGAAACAACAACTTGGCGATAAATCAAACAACAACTTGGTGATAAATCAAACAACAACTTCGCCATAATACAAGGGGTACCTTAAAGTCTACTCTACCCCAATATAAGCATACAAATGTGCAATCCTCTTTGCATCAATGCTTGCATGAGAAATTTTGATTTTATAATGGTGAAAACAAACAGGAGGCAAACTTTTATAGACTCCCCAGGTAGCCTGACGTCATTAATAGCTAATAATGTAATTCTATAATAGCACCCTATAATGAAACGACAGAATTTTTTAGTTAGTTTTATGGTCTCTAAACTGAAATCTTTCCTTTTAGTAGATATGTTCTTCAAATTAACATGAGGTTTGTAAATTGTAAAAACTGAAATAAATATGCAGTTCTGTTTCTTGTGCTAGTTCAGTCTGATAATTGTGTGATTGTTCTATCTATAATATGATTAAATTTAAAAAAACGAAAAATGCATAAGTCAAACTATTACAAAGTCTCGCGCACCATATCAAAATATAAATGTTATTACAGTGCACAATCCGAGATCCAGACATCCAGTATCTCTGGAATAATCTAAAATTTGGACCTTCAGCATTATTTTTTTCTAAAAGAATTAATTTTTATATGATTTCCACATGCGCATTTGATATTTTTTCAAGATAAAACAGGTATAGAAGGAAAGTCCTTATTCTTAATTTTGCTTCAACACTAAAATACCTCCATATTGGAAAAACAGACGTTTATTAGCATAAATCTGTATGATCAATAATATGGCTGTGCAGATACCTTTTTCTTATTATGCATCTCAAATCGAAACATTCTACATTGAAATATAGTTGATTTTACACCTGCTAAACAATTTATATCCCTTATGCCAAGCTGGTGAATCATTATTATTTGTTGCTTTCATCGCCGCATGGCTACCAGCATACAGTAGCTTGAGATATGAGTCATGCTAAATAATTTGGTTCAAATTAAACTTTTTTGAAAAATATTGGGGTACTTCTCTGTTTCGCCGGAGCAAATCTCGCCAAGCATACTTTGTTGGCGACAACATATAGGATACACATAAAATTGTTAACAAATGTTAGTTCTAAGAATTTTTTATTTATTTATTTTATTTTGAAACATTTTAATATGGTTTAAAATTTTGTAAAAAGCCAGTAAATAAAGACAATAAATTTGTAAAGAGACATTAATTTAAGAATTTACTATGCTATCATGGTTCAACATCCTGATTCGCCGGTTTGTATCACATTACAAGTGATCTCATCTCACGTAAACTGCGCTACAAAATATAATTCTTTCAGTAATTATCTACACTAATTTCAAGTTAAATCTCAATTTGGAATACAAGTTTAAAATGCAAGAATTATTTCAATTCGTACGAATAGCTTACTCAGAAATTATGTAAAATTGCAGTACTTTATTTCGCTAGTGCATTCTCGTTAGAATTGATAAATTTAACCCTTGATTTTGCCTTTTCTACATTTTCGCCTGCGGGTGAACGGTGTGATTGCATCCTAATTGACTTAATTACCGTGAATGGCCTTAGGGCATAAAATTTAATTATCTTTGTAAATATTCTATGTAATTGTATGCCAATATTGAAAGAAACAAGCAATCTAGTAAGAAATGGCTGTGACTTGTTTTGAAAATATGGCGTGAAAGGTTACCAGCGAAGATATTTCATTTGGCATCAGTTGTACCATTATTGGCAACTTCATTGTTTGTGCCGTCAAAACGGAAAAAGTACTAATACAGTCAAAAGTCTTTAATCCGGACGTCCATAATCCGGAATGATCTATAATCCAAACCTCAAAGCTACAAACTTTCTGCGCATGCGTACGCATAATGCGTTTACAACATATGTAAACATATGCATTTACAACATATGCGCATATGCGGAACAACGTAAACAACTTACATTGAAAGAAATGTTCAATAAAGTAAACAAATAAATATTAAGCTTTTTTTTTTTTTTTCTGTAAATTTTGATACCCTTTAAATCATAATTGCTCTTTATTTCATAAATTACGGTTTCATATTTTAAATTTTATAATTTCTGCATGCCATCTTACCAGATTTAAACTGATGATCTATAATCTGGAGAAACCGATAATCCAGAATCGCCGAAGTCCCGATGATTCCGGATTAAAGACTTTTGACTGTAATTTATTATAAACATTTTCAACAAGAACATTTGCATAAAAGCAAAGTGTAAAACATGGTAAGATCATTATAATTACTTTGAGTTAAGATGAAAAAAAAAATTCAGTAGGAGTAAATTGTTACAAGAAACATGGTAATAAAATGTTGCACATGAATTATGGTAGTAAGGTAATTTAAGTACTACAGTTTAATGACAACATGAATATTGACGTTGAATTCCCTTCAACATTATCATGCCTTTAATTTTACACTATTATAAAGTACTTTATATGTAGATTTTAATTTTCCAAAAAAGTGTAAAATTGTTGTAATTAATGTATTAAGAAAAAAAAAAAAAAAATGTTATTTTACTAGTGTTCCTGGAAGAGATTATTTCTTGGAAGCAAACAGCCAACAGACAGCTCTGTTTTGGCTTCAAGAGCTTCAAAAATACAGACGAACTTACAGTCTTCTACATACGAAACATCTTAGTGTACAAACAACATCCGTTGATACTTTAAGTGGAGTAAGTGATTCTTTGTATTATATATCTGTAGCCCATTATATTCATTAAAAATGTTTTTAAGTTGTAACTGGCAGCATATACAGTGGGTACAAAAAGTATTTGCACACATACATTTTTGTTCACAATTTATAAGAAAATACATTAAATTGGCATTTAAAAAATAGAATAAGCTTACTAATTTAAATTAATTACAAAAATACAACAATATTAATAAAAAACATTTTTTGCAACAATATTAAAATAGCTTATGTCAAAAAAGTATTTGCACACTCAACTCAACTTTAGCAAATTTGCATTTTTATGCTATTATTTGACAGTCATCCCGCAGTAAATAACGTAAGACGACTATAAAAGGTAGGTGTTGTCGAAACGTTATCAGTTGATTGTCGATTTCAAATTGTAATGGCACCTAAGAAATCTGAATTGCCGATTTCGTTGCGAGAAAAAATTCTCTACGTGAAAATGGCCTAAGTTATCGAGAAATAGGTAAAAAAGTAAATGTTTGCTTCTCTACTGTTCGGTATATTATAAAACGTTATAAAGAAAGAGGATCTACATCAAATAACTTGCGCTCTGGACGCCCAAAGAAACTTTCACTGCGAATGAAGCGAAAAATTCATAAGAGAAGCATCGAAAAAGTCCATTTGTTAGTGCAATTACTTTAGCCAATGATGTCGCTTCAACATCTGGAGTTCAAATGTGCCCAAAGTGTTCGAAATGTCCTGCATGAAGCACACATTTATGGGAGATCACCAAGGAAAAAAAAACCTCTCATAACTGAACGAAATAGTCTGAAGAGACTTGAATTCGCTAAGGAATATAACAATAAGCCAATTCATTTCTGGAAAAATGTCATATTCTCCGACGAGAGTAAGTTCAATATCTTTAAATCAGATGGCAGGAAAATAATTTGGAGAAAACCTTGTACTGCTTTTCATACCAAAAATGTGTTACCTACAGTTAAACATGGAGGAGGTTATGTTATGATTTGGGGGTGCATGGCTAGCAAAGGAGTTGGTAATTTGTGTTTTATTGATGGGAATATGATAGCTCGAACCTATATTGATGTGTTGCGAGATAACTTTGCCACAAAGTGCAATAAAATTGGTATCAGTAATTCGTACTATTTTCAGCAAGACAATGATCCCAAGCAACACTGCCGGTATAACACGTATGTGGTTGCTTTATAATGTACCCAGAAAACTTGCCACTTCCACCACAATCACCAGACTTAAATCCTTTGGAAAATTTGTGGAATTCTTTGGAATTTAAAAATAAGTGGAAGATTTCAAGCAAATCTGCTCTTAAACAAGCCCTTATTGAAGAGTGGTCGAATACTGACCCTACTGTTACAGAAAATTTAATTAAATCAATGCCAGCAAGATTACAAGCAGTAATAGATGCTAAAGGAATGCATACTAAATATTAGTTATTTGAAATTTGCTTATATATTTTATTTCTTTTGTATTCATGCAGGTGTGCAAATATTTTTTGATATGAGATATTTTAATTTTGTTACAAAAAAGCATTGTTATTTATATTATTGTAATTTTTCTGTTTGTTTCGGATGATTAAACTTATTCTGATTTGGAAATACCAATTTTTTTATTTCTTAATGCTTCTTTTTATGAATTGCAAACAAAAATGTAGGTGTGCAAATACTTTTTTTACCCACAGTATAGTCCTCAATAGTTATGTGAAACAGTATTTAAGTTAATTAATATATAATAGTACCAAAACTATGGAAACAAATAAAATTATATAATATTTTGTAAAAAAAAAATATTAGAAATGTGTGTTTGCCAGGTACAATCTTAAATTGCCAAATGTGGTTTTTGTGCTTGATATATCGATACTGGTAGAAAATCAAATGTTGGAAACTTAGTAGCCCCTGCTGAAGACAGCACAACTCTAGGGATAATTCAAGTCAGCACAGGCCTAAGGATAATTTCCTATAAGTAATGCTATTACCAAAGCAAGATCAATATTATAATGTGACTTGAAATTGGGAAGGATGGAATATGATTTTGTATATTTCTTCCTTAATCTTTCATATCTTATAAAAAGTATGAAAGTCCTTTAAAAATTAATTTTAGAAGGCAGATCACTGTTATTATTTTTTCACTTAAACATTCCCCTTATTTGCTATAGTTCAATCTTGCTATTGGGATTTACAATAGTGCTCCCCCTTATTTGCTATAGTTCAATCTTGCTTTTGGGATTTAGAATAGTGCTCATCTACTGCAGACATGCTCAACTCATGGCCAATGGGTACATGTGGCCTGTATCATATAACCAAAGAAACGTCTAAAAATACATACTTTTATGCCTTTCTAAGGAATTTTATAGATACTTTATGCATATTCATAGAATTCTAATTCATTTAAATCAATATATTTACACATAAATCATTTAATTTTATGCAGTTAAATTCATATAAAAATATGATTATTTTCTTCGTTTTATGGAACAAAATTTTTTAAAAACAAAGATTTTATTAAACGTGCATGAAAATATGTGACTTTATTAAGTATTAACAACATCCGTTGATACTTTAAGTGAAGTTAATTAATCCATAATTCTACAACAGTGAATTTAATCTCTACATATAATATAAGAAAGAGTCTGTCTGTGTCAGTGTGTCTTTCGTTCGTGTTGGGCGTAAGCTAATAGACTCACGGCTACAAAATTTGGTACATAGGTGCATCTAGACAAGAGCCAAGACTCGAAGCGATTTTTTCGACATTCGAATTAGAATTTATTTTATTTTATGTTTTGTGACGAAATCGCGTCATTTTTGAGTCATAATGGGCTATAGGAAAGTGAGATTTTACTCTACACACTTCATTTTCACATCGTCATGAAACATAGGAACTTAGCTATTTTACGAACTTAAAATAAACTTCGTGTTTCAATAAATCGATTAAATATGAATTTATTTAACAAAGTGAGCTTAACACTTTTTCAACAAGATTTTTTGATTTTTTCTAAAAAAGTTTATTTTTATTTGATTTTTGGACACTTTAAACTTTCATCCTTGCGACTGCTTTTACAAAAAGAATTTTGGAAAAATGATAATATTTTGTATTTAAAAAAAAATAATAATAAATGAAGCTTCTGAGAACACTTCTCATATCTCACATCTTTAAAAATGTGATTTTGGCAACAATTTTCCTGTCTTATTGTTGTTGATAGATTTTTGATGAAATCACATCATTTTGAATAGTTTCGTTCTTTTGGAAATATGGGTTTGGCAACAATTTTTCATTGTATCACTGTTTTTAAGAGATTGGCATATTTTATTGTCATTTATATATATATATAATACATTTTTATTAATTTTTTTTTTTTTTTTTTTTTTGATAATGTTGTTCTGCAGAGTAAAATTCTGCACGGAATTTTAGGTTTTTTGAGTTTATTTCATGTTATTTTTTGCTTATTTCACTGTTTGTAAGATATTGAAAAGTCTTGCATGATTTTTTTTCTTCAACAGAAAGTTGGTTATTTTTTTATTAGGATAATTAATATTTGTATTAAGTGATATAGCTTATTTCATTGTAATTTTTTTCACTTGAAAATATAAGATAAAATATCATTAATTATACTTTGCTTTTCATAATTTTTTGTATTCTTTTATGTTATTTATTGCTCATTTCACTGTCTTTAAGATATTGAAAAGTTTTGAGTGTTTTTTGGGAAACAAAGTCCTTAACCTCCTTTATACCATTTGAGTTCTTAAGATTTTGCAAAGAGAAGTTGGTTAACTTATTTATTAGGATAGTTAATATTTGTATTAAGGGGTATTGCTTATTTTATTGTAATTTTGTTATATGTAATAACTTTTGTTTTATGAAGTTAGTAAAAATTCTAAGTAGTTTTAAAATTTAACGTTTGATGTTCCCTTCACCCATTTTTCCGGTACATTTAAAAGCCAGATGAAGGCTGGCAGTGAAGCTGCTAGTTATTAATAAATAATAGATTAGTATATCTTTGCTTACAAGGATGAATCATAAGATGACGTACAGTCAAAACACATTTCTTGAGAGCACTGAAAGCACAGCACACTGGTTCCTTGCATTCCAAGCATTTGCATGCTGTTTTTCTCTTCTTACAAGGTGGGCACAGACTACATGTTTTTATTTCTTCTAATTTTTCTTCTTGATTTGATAAATCGATTTTCTTAATTTCCTTCTGTCCAAGGATTCTTCGAATTGTTATCTTCAGTTCCCTTTGCAAAAAAAGCAAAAGTTATCCCAACTTTCATATGCAGTATAAAAAGTTTATTAGCTAATAAAAGCATAATTTTTTTTTCTTTTTAGTTTTGTAGCATCAGGATATGACTGGAACAGTATTTATGACCATAAATTCCAAGTATCTTCAGGCTCTGCTCTAGAACCTATTTTTACAGGATATTTCAGACCAGGGAACTGAACTACAGTCAAAAGTCGTTAATCCGGACTCGTCGGGACTTCGGCGATTCCGGATTATAGATCATCAGTTTAAATCTGGTAAAATGGCATGCAGAAATTATAAAATTAAAAATATAAAACCGTAATTTACGAAATAAAGAACAATTATGATCTAAAGGGTATCAAAATTTACAAAAAAAAAAAAAAAAAAAAGAAGCTTAATATTTATTTGTTTACTTTATTAAACATTTCTTTCAATGTAAGTTGTTTAAGTTGATTCGTTTTTTATGTGATAATACATTCTCTTTAATTCTATAAACAGACATAATTTCTTGTTCAGTTACAAAGTTCAGCTGTTCACGTCCTCTAATTGCTGTGTCGAGAATACCGACTAATTTGTCAATCGAAATTTTTTCGTTTTCACTAACCTCTCTGTCACATTCTTCATGTCTTTATCCATTTTTTGCAGCAATTCCACTTTTTGTTTGATGAACATCGAAACATACTTGTAGTAAACATACTTGTAGGTTGTAGCTTTGAGGTCCGGATTATAGATCATTCCGGATTATGGGTGTCCGAATTAACGACTTT